CCCTAAGAGAGTCTTCATCAGTGCCTTCCACAATTCATGTCTTCCACATAATGTGCCTTCCACAAATTGTGCCTTCCAGGAGTCAAACTCTCCACGTTGAGGTTGCAAGCCCACACATGCAATTGTTCCACCAATTCGAATGTGCCTTGGGGGGCATGATTAAATTTTACTCCGCTCTAGGTTAGTTCACTTGTGATATAAGGACAATAAGATTAAAGATTTTTTTTTTTTAATTTATAATTGAGTTATTACATTCACATCACATACACTACATTTTAATTGTAATGAATGTTCTAATCTTCCGTTTATTTTCAAACTTATGTCCTCCACTTCTTCCGTCAAATTACAAACCTTCTATTAATTTGCATGTTTTGGTCTTTAATGAAGATTTTTTTTCAATAAAATTGGTTAGAAGAACATAAAAAGACTCGTTTGCCTCTTGTATTTTTAGGTAATCTAAATAAGAAATAAATAAAAATATTTGAAAATATTTGTCCATTCATTTCAATGCATATTAGTAGAATATTTTTAAAAAATTGTAACTGATTGAAGTTTAATAGTAATAAAAATACGACGAAAAAAAATTAAAAACACACATATATATATATATATATATATAAACAAATAATGAGGACGTTTATTACAATTAAAATGCGCACAATAATAAAAATTCCTTGATTATATATTTACATGTGATCATTATGGCTCGTTTGATGATGTTTCTGAAAAGTCATAAATTAGTTTCAGATATTTCATTAAATTTTTAAAAATACTTTGATTAATTAAAAAGTTATTTCGAGAAAGCTGATTAAATATAATTTCTTCGAAAAAAGGCTTCTACAAAAATTAGTAACCATATCATGCAAACGATGGATAGGGATAGAATTCAACAAAATAAAAATAAAAATAAAAATGTTCAACTCAAACAATGGCGTTGCTTATCATAAATTTAGAAATAATATCATTTAGAATCATGTTACAGTGTCAAAATAATAGAAATAATGTTACATGATACTCTATTATTAAACAATTCAAAACACAATCATTTTTTTTCATTAAATCACCTCCCGTCACCTAAAAATCTGGCACCACTTCTTGCATAAACCCTATCATTTAAAGCGTGAATAGATCCAGGAGGAAAACGGTGAACGCGCCACCGAATACTCAAGTAAATGGGACGTAGCACTGGGCTGGACCCCACCTACATTTGCTTTCCCCAAGATCAGCCACGTGTTGGGATCACACGTCCTTAAGTATGTGGTATCTACACGTAGCACGTCCTAAATGTCATTATCATGTTGGATTAATCTACTAAAACAGGGGCTCTGCACAAGGTTTGAAAACAGACCCCACTTAATTAGTGGGACCCACCTCCATGTGAGAGGTTGTAAAAATTACAACACTCTAAGTGTTGTACAAATAGATTTTTTCTTTGAAAACAGGGTTGAGGTGGACTCACCTTGATCTGCATTGTGTGCAATTCAGATCAAGGGCTAAGGTGAGTCCACCTCAGCCCTGTTTTTAAGCCCTCTGCAGATCCCCTGTTTTTGTGGCAGCGATCAATTCTTTTTGATTTGCATAATTTTTCGCTGTTTTTTGTTTTCTTTATTTTTAGTCAATATTTTTATTTATAGTCCATGCATGTTACAAATTAAAATCAAGATTTAATTCAAGTCAAAATCAATAATTATTTTTAATCACATATTTTATAAGATTCATAAGTTTTTACCACATAATTTATCCACTTTTATTAAAATCTATTAAAAATTTAATTTTAATGTCCACAAAATAGGAATAAAATATTTTAAATTTGTGAAATAAGCGTTTTAATTATAGTATTAAGCGTATGTTTGGTTCAACTGAAAATTTACTAAAATTTAAATCAAAGTAAAAAAAAAATTAATTTGAATTATATATTTCATAGTAACTTTTTTTACTACACATTACGCCCTGTTTGATACCCATTTTTTTTAAAATACATTTTTCTCTATCTTCTTTTCAATTATACATTTTTCAATAAATTTATATTATATGCAAATACAAAAAAATTCTTTATTTTTTAACCATACATTCTCCATTAATCAATTATCTCAAAATGTATTCTTACTATAAAAAAGGTAAACAAACAGGCACAATAATTTTTATCATAATTTATTAAAAAAATAATTTATTTATTTTTTTAATCTAAACTAAACAAGAATGTAATTGTGTGTGTGTGTGTGTGTGTGTGGAGGGGGGAGAGAAAATTTAACTTCTTTAAGCTACAAATAATGTTCTTATCGTCATCCCAAAAAACAATGTTCTTCTCTAAATATAAAATAACAAATGAAAATGGGAAAATGAAAATAATTTCATATATACTATAAAAATGAGAAAATAATGTTGGAAATTTTGGATTTGTAGGAGTTTTAAGAGTTGGATTTGACCAAATTTGGCCAAATATTATGGACTTAATATTAAAATGTTTGTAGTTAGTTCAAAGGCCAAGCATTATTAAAAAATGATGAACCGCATTCTTAACGGTCCCCACCTGCCATGCCTTAGGCTTTGGTGAAGGAGGTAAATCGCAGGTTATGCCTCCAAGCATTATTGGACTGACCAATTTCAAGTGAATAAGGAATTAATGTAGAAATTGAGTTTCAAATGTGAAAAAATTTAAAAATTAAATTAGTGGGAAAAAAGAAAAACTCTGCCATTTCCGTATTCTAAAGTAGTCACTTGAGCATAATATTTAGGGGTTATGTCACTTTGACAAAAAGTAGTTTGACACATGAAGTAATATAATATTAGTTGGCAAGATGTGATCGAACGAAAAACTTGATATGTTAAAAATAGTTCAATGATAAAATGTCATATGACATTATGTCAATCATTGTCTAAAAAATTATATCGCTATAGCATGATTCTTTATTTAGCCACGTCTCACACTTGACATCAACTTCAAAGGATAAATATTTAAGAAAATAGTGGAGACGGCTAAAGAATTCGTCCAACCCGATATTCGCGGGTCTTGTTGGGATTACCCGCCTAATCAAGTAAATGGGACGGGGTCGCTGCCTCGAAGCGTGTATAAGGCAAGTATGGGAAACATGGTCCCTGCTCCACTACTCGTTCCGTTCAAAGTTAATTTCAAATTTAAGGTTTTTATCCAATAAAAAGAAAATATTTATCACCATTTTTAAAAAGAACATGAGTTGCTTAACAAATTTAAGAAAAATGATATTCACTAATTAAAGACATAAAATAAATAAATAAAATAAACGTTGCTCTGCCCCAATCCTACCCAAAAAATTCGCCATGTCCAGCTTTATCGAGTATGGAGGTAGGACAATGTAACAAAAACATACGAAGAAGCAAGGGATGAGAATGGTCGACCAGCCCCATACGACATACCCTGCCTCGTTGCCATCCCTAGAAAAAAGCTTTATAAGTCCAATTCAAAAGACGTGGCTAAATAAAGAATCATGCTACAGCGATATAATTTTTTAGACAATGATTGACATAATGTCATATGACATCAACTTCAAAGGATAAATATTTAAGAAAAGAGTGGGGACGGCTAAAAAATTCGTTCAACCCGATATTCGTGGGTCTTGTTGGGATTACCCGCCTAATCAAGTAAACGGGACGAGGTCGCCGCCTCGAAGCGTGTATGGGGCGAGTACAGGAAACAAGGTCCTACTCCGCTACCCGTTTCGTTCAAAGTTAATTTCAAATTTAAGGTTTTTATCCAATGAAGAGAAAATATTTATCACCATTTTTAAAAAGAACATGAGTTGCTTAACAAATTTAAAAAGAAAAAGTAATAATATTCACTAATTAAAGACATAAAATAAATAAACGTTGCTCCGCCCCGATCCTACTCAGAATTCGCCCCGTCCAGCTTTATCTAGTATAAGGGCAGGACAATGTAACAAAAACGTACGAAAAAGCAAGGGATGAGAATGGTCGACCGCCCCATACGACATACCCCGTCTCGTTGTCATCCTTAGAAAAAAGCCTTGTAAGTCCAATTCAAAACCCACGTATATGAACCATATATCGGTAAAGAAAAGTGATGTATTTTCATAAGTTTAAAATCTAGGATTCTTACATACGAGTGCTCAAATTATAAATTTATCAGATTTTAATTTAATCACACATTTCACAAAACACAATTTTTTTAACTTTTAAATTAAATATCTCATCAATTTTTATCGAAAATTGTTAATTCATTATCACGTAAACTATTAGAACAAAATTTAACATTGTGAATAATACTTGTACTCTTTCCCGTATGGTTTTTAAGCTCATATACCACAAGGGTTGTTGGATAAGTCTTAAGTAATTTTTTATAACGTTCCATTAAAATTAATTATTGACTTTAACGATAATTTTTAGCAACCTTTTATACTTCCCAATGAGTACCAAGTATTTTCCTTCCATTAATAATCAATAAAGATATTATTATTATTATTATATTGAAAATCAATTAAATCTATTTTATATGAGATAACGTTACTTAGTTAATACAGCGAACCAATCTTATCTTATTTTCCCTTATTTAAAGGTCATTAAATAGTATGTATGACCAATAAACTTACAGTCAAATTCAGTTAATTTTATTTTCCTTATTACAAATAAATTACCTAATCTATTTTTTGGTGCAAAATAGTAATATTGCCACGCGGCACTAGTGTTAAACCCTAAAAGCAAAAATAAGTATGATTCTATGACCAAATAGACGGCTTCGATCGCATCAAAGACGGTGCTACGGTACACCGCGTAGCACCGAAACGTTTTCTGATATTTAAAATTGGAAAAAAAAAAATCAGAAAGATAATCTTAGATTCTAGTTTAATTTTCCAATTTGGCTGTCTGGATAAAGATAAAGACTTTGGCTGACCATCGCACTGTTTTCATATCCTCGTCCTTCCTCTCTCTACAAATTTCACTCTCTCTAGCTATTATTTTACGATATACACATCATATCTATCGATTTTCGAAACAGTATCTACAGTATGTCAATCGCGTTCGAGAGAAATAATTCCGGCAATGATCGTCGGGTCGAACATCCGGGATTCGCTCGCCACCAGATGAATTTTGTATCCACTACGTATAACTCGCAGGATTGTCCGGCAGCTGATCGGAGTCTAGAGGAAGTGGAGCAACTGGAGGACCGGGCTGACTCTGTATCATCTTCGTCGACGGCGTCTTCGATTGGGAAGAACAGCGATGATGAGGCGACGGGCGGCGGCGATGGTGACGGCGAAGGAGAAGAGGTGCAGAGTGAATGCAAAACTGGGGCCCTGGAGAGTTTGGATGCTTTGGCTGAAGTTTTACCTGTAAAGTATGTGGCGTTTTTTATTCTTATTTTGACGAAAATCGCTGATTTCTAACTGTATTGTTTTAGGGTCTTGATTATGATGGATTAGAATATGTGCTAAATTTGATGTATTTTTTGGGCAAAACTTTTGGTGGTTTATGGTTCACTTTATTCCCTTTTTGTTTAGGGTTTAGTTGTTTAATAATTACTTGAAGAATCCAGAAAATAAAGTAAATTTTCTCAGAAACCTAGGAATATTTAAGAAAAGAAGACTTATTTTTTAATTTTAAGCAGCCTTCAAAATATTATAAATTCCAAAATACCCATGCAGGTATCCATCCTCCTCCTCCAGTATGACATCTCTCACAAATCCCTGCATTGAAAATTTCACAGCATTTGTGATGAACCTATTTTTCACTATGCATCATCCAAAAAAAGTGAATTTACCAAGAATTATCCTATATTAAATGCCCCGATTAATCAGAAGCCAGTGACTTTTACTGTTCCTTCAACTGAAGGATGGAAGTAGTTGTATGAGAAGATTAAATAGGTGGATGACATGTAATATTTAGTGCAAAGGAAACACTTCTTTCATTGGTTTTGAGGTGTTAGCAATGTGTCCTGTGAGTTTCAGCTCTTTATTTTTCACAAAAAAAAAATTTTCTTTATTTTTGTTGAGGATTTGCTTGTTGAAGTAGCTATATATCTGGTTCAAGATCTTTGAATATACTATATGCTCATTTCATGGGTCAGGCACACACCAAGATGCCAACATTATTTTCCAAGTATAAGAGTCCATTTGATGTAGTCTTGACTGCTTGATGGTGCTATTCTTCTGTGTGAAAAGAGTATGATTTTGTGATTGGTGATATTATGAATTAACATGAGAGCATTAGTGGTGGTCCATTTTCTTGTTTCCACTGCTCTGTTTTTTTAAGGTTTTTTCCCGGTATATCCCCAATCATTAGAAGTTTCTGACAGGTAATGCATAAAAATAGAGAGATGCACTGGAAGCTGAGTGGGGGTGGGATATTTCAGTAGATATGTATTTAAAATGAGTTTGACAGTCAGATATGCAAATTTGGAATCTTTTACAGTGTGTATGTTGATAAAATTCAGCTTGATAAGGCTTAGTAGATAAGCATGGAATAAAAAAACTCAACTATTGAAGCTGTACCTGTATTGGGTCAAGATTGGCATGTTAAGAGATGAAGGCAAGCTTGTAGTGCTTTGTTGCTTGGTCTGGTTCAATTTATGGCACTGTGCTGAGGGATATTTCTTTGTAGTCGTGGAGTGTGGCTTATTATCATAATTGAAACCATTTTTCGTATTTTTTCCATAACCATGAGAGAAACAGTATATTAGAGAGGTTGGCTTTCATATTGTTGTTCTTAGATTTAGAAATCAGACGATTTAAGCTCTTTAAATAGTTTCTGTCGACAGATTGTTTTCTGTTCTTTTTATTTTCCTTTTTTTTCCCTGTACCTTTCTGCTTATGTTATTTTAAGTTTGTTGGGTTACCCAGTCTTGAGAAACTGTTTTTTGGGTTTTAAATTCCTGGATCTGTCAAACATTCTTCTGATGCAATGTTTCTTCTTGCTCTTTTAAAACAGGAGTGGACGTTATACTTTCTTCTTTTTTGCATGTTACAATTTCCTGATGGCTTCAGTGTTCACTTGTTTCAGGAAAAGTATATCGAAATTCTATTGTGGTAAATCCAAAAGTTTTACCAGTCTATCTGATGCAACATCATTATCGTCCGCAAAAGACATGGTTAAACCAGAAGATGCTTACACTCGTAGACGCAAGAACTTGCTTGCACACAAGTACTTCTTGGACAAGAATTTTAGTAACATTTTAAGAAGCAACAGTGGTGGCATATCGAAAAGATCTGCCAACTCTAGAAGCACATTGCACCTTGCAGCGAGTATGACTAATAACAGCAGCACTTCTAGCTCGTATTCATCATCACCTAGTCGCTGCCTTCCTCCTCTGCCACCACATGCAAGAAGACCCACAAATTGTGAATCTTTATCATCATCTCCTGATGAGAAGTTTAGTCCATTGCGATCTTTCTCTTTATCTGATCTACAAGTTGCTGATGCTGTGAGTCCAAGCATTACCGGCCTATTGGTAGACAATAGAGATAAATAAAGCAAATCATGTGGATCTTTCCATCCCTAGTAGTTCATCGAGGCGAAGACATGCATTGTTTGATGGCCATTACAGTTATTTTAGTAGTCATATTTTATGCTCTGGGCCTTCTGTTAATGAGCTTGGTTTAATGTCTTATTACTATTTTCTTTTCTGACTGCTGTTCTTGTATTTTCAATGAAATTTCTGCAAAATCAGAAAGCCCCACCGAGTTGTTGTCTTCTCTCTGATGTATTGCGGTCTTTTAAGTTCCCAATGAATTGAAACATTATTGATGCTATAGGATATATAGGCTTTTCTTTTGGTTTTTGTTGTTATTTATTCTCTTGGGCTTGTGTAGGATCTTTTTGGGATTTTCCCGTGGGAAAATTACATAAATCCAGGTACTTAAAAATAGCTTTTTAAAAATATGGTCCAAAAGTTATTTATTCAAAAATCACGTAACATATTAAAAACTTAACCCTGATTTTTCATTCCAACTCCCTCACCGCTCCCCTTCCCACTCCCCCGCCTCCTCTGCCCTTTCTCCATCATCGGTCCAGTGCTCAAGACACCACCATAAGCTGAGCTCCTCTCCCCTCCCTTTCACGGTGATATTTGTTATTTAAAGTTTGTGTAAACTAGAGGAGGTAAAAAGTATTTTATTACTTTTATAGATTATTACACAAGGTATTGTTATATCTATTTGCTAAGGAATAAAGACGAGACCTTAGAAGCATTTAAACAGTACAAGTATGAGGTTGAAAAACAACTAAGCAAACGAATAAAAATTGCTCGTAGTGACAGAGGTGGGGAATATGGAGTACAGTTTGAAGAATTTTGTTCAGATTTTGGGATTATTCATCAAACTACAACTCATTATTCACCTCAGTTGAACGGTATTACGGAATGCAAAAATCATACTCTGAAAGAAATGATGAACGCTATGTTGATTAATTCTGGTTTACCTTAAAATTTATAGGGGGAAGCAATTCTCTTTGCTAACCACGTTCTAAATAAATTACCACACAAAAGTAGGAACGAAACTCTTTATGAGTTATGAAAATATCATAAACCTTCGTACAAATTCTTAAAAGTGTGGGGGTGTTTGGCTAAGGTAGAAATACCAAAGCCTAAACAAGTTAAAATAAGGGTTAAGACCATTGATTGCATATTCATTGGATATACTAATAATAGCAGTGCTTATCAGTTCCTCATACATAAGTCAGACATTTCGGATGTACATGAAAATACTATCATTGAATTTAGGAATGTTGTATTTTTTGAGGACAATTTTCCTTGTAAGGAAAGGAAAGAGATAAGTTCGCTAAAATAAACTTATGATACTACAATTAGTAATCATTAAAGTGATGAAGAACCAAGACGAAGCAAAATGACCAAAACATCAACATCTTTTGGTTCAGATTTTTTAACTTATTTGTTAGAAAATAAACCTAGGACATTCAATGAAGTAATGTCTAGTCTAAAAGCTCCATTCTGGAAAGAGGCTATCGATAGTGAAATTGATTCTATTATACAGAATCATACCTGAGAGTCGGTAGATCTCTCACCTGGTAACATACCGTTAGATTGTAAATGGATTTTCAAAAGAAAATTAAAGACTGGTGGATCAGTTAATAAATATAAGGCCAGATGCGTAGCTAAAGGATTCAAATAAAAAGAAGGTCTTGATTTTTTCGATACATACTCACATGTGAAAACGATCACATTAATTAGAGTATTAATTGCAATCGCAGTATTGCATAATTTGAAATTTCATCAGATAGACATCAAAATAGCTTTCTTAAATGGTGAGCTAGAAGAAGAAATTTACATGGAACAACCCGAAGGGTTCATTGCTCCTGGATAGGAGAAAAATGTGTGTAGGCTTGTTAAATCATTATATGAATTAAAACAAGCGTCAAAACAATAGCATGCAAAATTTGACAAAACTTGTGTTGTCAATTATTTTAAGATTAATGAGTGTGATAAATATGTTTATATTAAAATCACACCTAATGCATATGTAATCATATGTCTATATGTTGATGATATGCTAATTATGGATAGTAATTATGATATCATAACATATACCAAAAAAGTGTTGACAAAACATTTTGACATAAAAGATATATGTATTGCAGATGTAATATTACGAATTAAAATCTTGAAAACATTTGAGGGACTTGTCTTATCTTAATCTCACTACGTTGAGACTGTATTTAAAAAGTTTCAGTTATATGATGAAAGTTCAGTTAAAACACCGTTAGATTTAAGTCTACATTTGGTCAAACATAAAGGCAAACCCGTATCTCAATTAGAGTACTCTCGGATAATAGGCAGTCTAATGTATATTACAAACTGTACTCGTCCGGATATTGTATATGCAGTAAACAAACTTAATAGATATACAAGTAACCTAAATAATGACCATTGGAAAACATTGGTAATGGTTCTTAGATATCTACGATACACTTCAAATATTGGATTACATTATACTAGATATCCAATTGTATTAGAAGGATACATTGATTCTAATTGGATATCAGATACAAAAGACTCAAAATCCATTAGTAGGTATGTTTTTACCATTGGTGGTTTGGTTGTATCTTGGAAATCCTCTAAACAAACATGTATAGCTCGATTGAGGATGGGGTCTAAGTTCATAACTTTAGATAAAGCAGGAAAGGAAGCAGAATGACTTCGGAATTTTTTAAAGGATATTCCATGTTGGCCTAAACATGTGCCAGCAATTAGTAAACATTGTGATAGTCAGTCGACTAACGGTAGAGTACAAAGTAGCATTTATAATGTTAAGTCTCGACATATTCGTCGAAGACATAATACAATTAAGCAGTTGATCTCAAATGATATTATTTTAGATTATGTAAAATTTAGAGAAAATCTTGCGGATCCGCTTACCAAAGGTTTACCAAGAGATCAAATATACTGTCTATCAAAGGGAATGGGCTTAAAGCCTACTACGCAAGAATCTTTGTAATGGTAACCCAACATTGCTGACTGGAAATCCTAAAATCTTGGTTTGATGGGACAACTAAGTTATGAAGATTCAAAGAAACACTTTGGAGTTAACTTCTACGCATTCCTACAATAAAAAAGTGATATCTCCAGAAAGTTTTAGGTCAAGTTATACTTTTAATTATTCATATATATTAGACTATCTATTATCTAAGTGGGGTATGATAGGTACTCTTAATAAGAGATCACCTATATAAGTGTGAAGTGTGGCCGCTTCTATGAGAATGTTTCAAAAAGGCTTGAATTCTCTAAATCACTTGTGAAATCCAAGAGTTGTTCAGGGCCAAAATGAACGCAACAATGAGAACTCGAAAATGTTAGGAAGGTTATTGTGTTGATACTATTGTCTTGATTTACACTAATGGCCAACAGTTCAAGTCACTGCGTTCACTACTTAACCAAGTAAATTCAATAATATTCTACTACGGAAGGTTCAAACTCATAAGGTACATATATGGATACGATAACATTTCGCATAGTCTCTCTATATGGTCTGCATAGTCTATTGCATTAATTTTCATTCATATGGTGAATTGTTTGAAAAAATTAGTTTTTATTAGTTTGTTTGACCAACTTTTGACCAATTATTTTAGTGGATCCCGTTAGTTAGATAAAATATTTCTTTGACAGAGTGTGTTATACTCCATAACTATATTAATGTTATGTATTTATTTTCTCAAAATCAATTTAGGGTGAATGACAAATTAAGGCCAAAAGATGACCACTTGAAATTGAAATAAATTGGAATAAAAATTTGTGGAAAATTAGANTTGAAATAAATTGGAATAAAAATTTGTGGAAAATTAGAATAGTGTCAATCCTACATAAAAAAGTTAGAAGAATATAAATCATTTTATATTGCTCGAGTTCAAGACTTGGGTTTGGACTCTAAGGGTACCAATAGTCTTTGAAGTGGAGATAACCTGCATGCTAGTATGTTGGTCCAACCGGTCGGCTCGGCATGAACACGGGTCGTGAGTCGTGGATTTGGATTCATGGGTCCTAGGCTTGAATTTGAATTTGGATTTGGATTTGGATTTGGATTTGGGCAAAGAAGATGTATATTTTTTAATAAAATAATATTTGATTTATATTATTTTATTATTATTTAAAATAATAATATATTTAATTTATATTATTTTTTTCCAAATTTTCTGTGCGTGATACGTGGATTCTTCTAAAATGACGATTGACGGTCCAAACGGTCTGTGTCTGTCGAAGACACAACTTTTCGGTTGTTGTGTCTTTTGAACACAACCTTTCAACTTCTATAAATAGGCTCTCATACCTCGATTTTCATTCACTCCAAAATTAATTTTGATTTTATTCTTCTTCCTAAATTATTCATTCATCCTTGCATTATTCATATTTTGCAATCCAAGCTTGAAAATAATTTTCGTGCATTTTAGTCCTCAAATTTTTTAGAGAGTTCAAAACGTGAGTAGGTTCGCCGAGTCATGTAATTTGTAGTGCTACTATTACAAGTCGAGGTCGTTGTATCTTGGAAGACGAGTTTCGAAATACCGTCAGCACAAGTGCGGGACATTATCGTCTTAAGGAGAAAGAATCGAACTCTTGCCTCGACCATTAACATTTTATAGCATTCAATTTTTCACGACGTTATTTTGCCCAAATCAATTTATGATAATATAATTATTTGCCAACTTCCAACATTTATAGGGCTAGATCAGGGACCTCTCGAAGTTCTAATTTTACTTGTATGACTACAAAGATCTGGGGGGGGAATTTTCAAAATGACATATGAATAGTAGTTTTTTAAGAATTTTGTTAAAAAG